TGTAAACATGACACTTGCTAATTTTGCTGCACGTTCTCGTTTGGCCCCGAAACCTCTGGATGCAAATTCCAAGAGCGCCTTGAAGGCACGACCCGCAGGGGTCCGTGAGAAGATCGGCAGTTTCATCAAAAGAATGCCAATACCGTGTCTGCCCTGCCACGAGAGCTCCCGCATGTATCGATTCTGCTCAAACTTGGCACCACCCTCATCCCCAACCCATGCGCATGGAACGCCACGCCGAACCGCCTGCGCAAAGGGGAGACCTTGTCAGCAACCAAAGTAGAGATCGAGGCACCACACCTGAGGTGTGTGCGACATTCACTAGCAGTGACCAGGCGAAGATACGCAACAGGGAATCCACTCGGAGCAAACACAGTCTCAGCCAAGGCGTGTGAAAGGCAGAAAGGCACCAAAATGTCACACCTTGGGTAAGTCTTACCACATGTACTGCCTGTGTCTGATTTGCTTCTTGTGATCGACGGTGAACTCGATCAGCTCCGTTTCCCCATGTTCCGCCCGTGCGTCCCGTGGTTCTCCCGTGCAATCTGTAAACAGCCCCATACCACCACAACCGAGGCCCTCACAAACAAACACACACACACACAGAATGGCGTATGCATTGGCCAAGTCCTTTGCGTGTCTGCTACACCTGTGACACCTTTTGTACTTCTTTCATTGCAGCTGCCCCTCGGCCAAAGAACCATCCGCGACTCAAAGGCCTCTGTGTTGTTGCAGCATCAGGCTTTGAAAGGGGGGCCTGGTTGCAAGTTGCGGCGGAGTGTTAAACACCTTTAATGAAGTCCTGGGTGTAAGCTGGCATCGACTGGATGAGGCCCTGCTCGCCACATGATCACATACCCAGCACGCATGGATGAGGAAACTAGTGGCACAGTAAGTGTGAAGAATGGACACCCGAGGAAGGGGTCGGGACATGCGGTGCCGCCCAAGAAAATCGTGGAAGCAAATGCCAAAGCTAAAGCGCTTGAGAGTCTCCAAAATGCACACTCCAAGATCGGGCAGGTTCCCCGGTCAAGAAAACAAGCCAGTCTCCCTCCATGCATGTGCTGCAACATCGTACGCCTAGGTGCTAGAATCAGCCCTCTCACTTCAAACAAGCCCACAAGTGTGGTGCGCGCCTTTCGCTTTTCACGGACCGCCTTTTGGCGCTCGCAGCTCCCAATGCTCTTTTGCCCGCTTGCGAGAAATCGTGCACCTCTCGCCATCCTGGCGCTCTCCAGAGCGAAGCTAGTGCCTTACGAAACATGTGCCTACCTTTCCACCTCTCTTACTGCTCAAACATCTTCCCACAATACACACCGTTCCTCCAAGAAGCAAACATGCTGAAAAGTCCTCCGGCAAGCTGCTCTTCCGAGGTAAGTTTGCGCGCTTTACTCTCAAACAATGACCTCAAGCAGCCGCCGTTGTGCATGAAAGGATGCTGAACGCACCTCACATGCCTGTCCCCAAAACCGACCCAAACAAACAGAATGCAAACACGTTGATCGGCCCAAACACGTCACAGAGCCAGAGGTGGCCAACATCAGCTTCGCACGACAGCTCTTGATCTTCTCTGGGGGTGTGCTGCTGGCTTCAAGATTTTTGGTGGACCCAAAAACACGAATCTGCACGTGTGCAAAGCAAGCGCTGTAGAAACCCCTGTCCCCACAGCTGGCCTGCGCGCAGTCCAGCGCCAGCCGCAACGACACCAGGGTCTGGCCAGCTGGCCAGATCGGGCAATGGTTTCAAGCTCGTTGCGTTGCGCTTGGTGGGACTAACAGGCGGGTTGGCTTCGTAAGGCCAGAGGCTGCATATCTTTTAGCTTCGCCTGTGCCCTTGCACATGCGGCTGAAGATCCGATTGCAGGTGGCTCCCAAAAGCCTGCTGCCTTCCAAACGCAAGCTGCGCTCACAGGCCCCATTTGGGGTTTCCTACAACTAGAGTTGTGCCCCCACCAACTGGCGCCAGCTGCGGTTCACGCCTCTCAAGAAGTATGGCACTGGAGCTGCCTCGTGGAGCACGCATAGCATCCAGGACTCGGGATCCGGATGGGCCAAGGCGTGCCGCAAGCAGTCTCGAGCTCGGGGGTGCTCCTCAAAACCAGCTGATTCTGCAGCTGGTCTAAGCACATGACACCTTCCAGTCTGCGGCCATATCAGTAGCGCGTTGCAGGGAGACCCAAGCCCCTCAAGTGCAAAAATGCGCCCGGAAAACTCTACACACTCTTGCCGACGCATGCGTCCGAGGCGCCGAGGTGAGAACACCCAGCTGACGTTGCGTCCCTTGGCGGGCCGGATCGCCGTGGCAGCGTTGTCACCTCACGGGTCCTCGGCTTCTCCGTGCCGCAAGCCAAATCACATGCCCAGCTTTCGGTTTCCCACCCATGGCCCGATTCACAAACACAGGAAGCACAGGCCCTCTTGCCCTTACTCAAGCCATGGCTCCCAAAAGCGGCTGTCCAGCTCCTCCAGCGAGGTGCCCCTTGGCTCTTCGCGAATCACGCCTGCCAGGCATCCCCATGCAAAAAGTCTGGAAGGAATCGGCTTCCCGGGCGTTTCCACCCCGTTCAATGACAAAGTGTTTCAATTGACACTAAACCGAGTTCTATGGAAGATTGAGAAACAGCAATGCACCCTAGACCCTGGATATATACACATACAAACAAATGTCTGTTTTGATATACATACTCATGCGCACATGTGTGTGGATGCCTACGTTTTTTGTTTGTTCTGCTCGGGTTTGCCATCACCCCGTTTTCATGCATTGACTCAAACAATCATTCATCCATCATGTCATTGGTTTGTTCATGTGTGTGTCCATTCGTTCATTCATAACATATCAGCGCAGCCGCTTGTGAATTTGTTGCTTAAACTCAATCGCTTTTTATCTAGCTAGCATGCCACCGAACTGCGTACCCGACTTGCTATCTATCTACCTATCTACCTGTCTAATCTGTCCTACACTTAGTTCTCTGCCAGTCTAGCAGTTCATCCACCCAACACAATGCATGTCAGATACATCTAACCGTCAATCCACCCTACTCGCACTTAATCTACTTTAATCTCGCCTAATCTAAATTATATGTCGGACTATCTATCTACCCACCCATCTATCCATCCATTCATCCATATCAATTGACTATCTATCTATCTATCTATCTATCTATCTATCTATCTATTTAATCTAGTATGTCTAAAGGTCCTGTCTATCCATCTGCACATCTGTCTGCCCGTTTGTGCTTCGACCCAATCTACCTATCCGCCTATCTACGTATCGACCAGTCCACCACCGCCACGTACCCATCTATGTCTCTCTATCTATCGATCTATTCCACGCACCCGCCTATCCATCTATCCAGCCTTCTATCGACCTATCTACGTATCTTGTCTTACCGTATCCTACACTCTCCATCAATCTGTTCAACTACCACCTACCAACCAACCTACCCACCTACCTACCTATCTCTCCGTCCATCTGTCTATATTTCTATCTCTCTCTGTCTCTCTGTCTCTCTGTCTCTCTTTCTCTCTTTCTCTCTTTCTCTCTTTCTCCAATTCCGGCAATGGCGGTCCATCCCGCCGGCGCGCCAAAGTCCCGAAGCAAAACTGAAGTCACTTGGTGGGAAGCCAATCGCATTTTATCAACGTTGGATCACACTCGCTCGGCATTCCCAACTCAACTGCTAAGTCTTCCCAGACAGCTGCCGTGTCTATCTTACTATCTATCTATCTGTCTACCTATCTATCTATCTGTCTATCTATCTATCTGCCTACCTTTCTATCTATCCATCTATCTGCCTGTCTGTCTGTCTGTCTCTGTCTGTCTGTCTGTCTGTCTGTCTGTCTGTCCGTCTGGCTATGTGTTGATATACATATATATATATATACTTGATCTTTCTCTTTCTCTTTCCGTTTCTTTCCCTCTCTCTCTCTCTCTCTCTCTGTTTCTGCTTCGGCCAAAGGCACCTATGTATGAATGGGTTAGTAGATTAATGACTAAGTTAAAGTTAATATTGATAGGTTCAGGCTTGATAGATAGATAGAAAGGTTAGATATGTGTATATGAGCCACGGTCAAAAGTTGCGTGGCTCCGATAAGACGCGCAGAACTCTGTAAAACGATGGGGCCCTGCCAAAAACGATAACTACATAAAGAGTAGTTTTGGTGGTAGCTCAAGAGGGAGAGACACAGAGAAGAGAAAGAGAAAGAGAAACAGACGGAGCGGAGAGAGCGAGCGAGAGAGAGAGAGAGAGCGAAAGAGATAGTACGAGAGAGAACAAGAGAGAACAAGAGAGAACAACAAACCGCTCCAGAGAGTACGACGGCAACCAGCGTCGGTCGATTTATTTTCACCGCACTGCCTCAAGTGGGTGGGATCGTACCTGTTGGTCGATCTGTTTCAATCTCTGGAGTCGGTGTGCGTGTCTCTCAGACACCACTGACTCGAAAGTAAAGTACAACAAAATAAAAGGTAAGCAAATGCAAGTGCATGCAAACCCAAAATGTTGTACAGCAGAGTTTCGAAGAGGGAGTGGACGTTCTCCCGTCCTCTCACTCGATGCTATAAATGCAGACCGACAGGTACTGAGGGCATGCAGTGAAAACTGGTGAGGGTGGGTGGGAAAGAAAAATTTGGCTAATTCGCCAAAATGGCGAACGGAGCATGAATCAAGCAGTGTCATCCTGCAGGCACTCAAGGTTCGAATCTGAGTGTGATTCAAATGCCTTCCGCTATCGGTTGTTACTTTTAACACAAGTGTTAACCGCAACAACAAACCGCTCCAGAGAGTACGACGGCAACCAGCGTCGGTCGATTTATTTTCACCGCACTGCCTCAAGTGGGTGGGATCGTACCTGTTGGTCGATCTGTTTCAATCTCTGGAGTCGGTGTGCGTGTCTCTCAGACACCACTGACTCGAAAGTAAAGTACAACAAAATAAAAGGTAAGCAAATGCAAGTGCATGCAAACCCAAAATGTTGTACAGCAGAGTTTCGAAGAGGGAGTGGACGTTCTCCCGTCGTAGGTCAACTCCCGTCGAAGGTGAAGCCGAAGGCGAACGACCTAGACAAAAGGCACGTTGAAGGCATCCTTACATCGATCAAGTCTCCTTACTGTGGACAAGATTCTCACGGGACGTGGAAGTCAAGTCGGGTTCAGGAGGAATGATTCCTGTGGAACTGTTGGAGTTCCTTTATGTCGTCAAATCCGACGGCATGGGCGAACTCAATATCGCCAATGATTTTGCACGTTCGTTTATGTAGAGCGTGCATGGGGGGTTCCAGAATCTGCCAGTGGTGCTTCGAGGCGAGAGACATGTCATGTCGACTGAAGGGGTCGGCTATATTAGCATGTGTGGGCACACGGGCAATATGCAACTGCAATTGCTGTCGGTTGTGCCATGTCCAATGTGCACCGAGCAGGCAGTTTAGTGGTTGGTGTTTCCCAACTCCCCGTCTGATGGCGTGTTTGGCCGCCTCGTTGTCGCACAACTGGAGGTATGTGTCAGTGATCCATGGTCGAAAGATCACAGGAGCGATCAACGCGGCCCATGCCTCGAGGAAATAAATGGCGTTGGTGCCAGTACTCACTTGTTGGAGTAAGTTAGGGGGTAGTGCGCCCGAGACCACGCGGGTCCTTTGTGCCTGTGGGCTGAACAGCACCGCTGCCCATCCGTTGTCGTGCGACCAATCGGGTGGCAGACAATCCTGATCCCCTGCGTCCTTGACACGCCAGACCGTCTCGCCCTGCCGGCAGAACGCGTCGGTGTATATGATTGAAAGGTCTCTGGGCCTGGTGGACAGTGGGACGCTGCGGGGTGAGCTATGTTGCAGGATATTCAGGAGGCACAGAATGGCAGCTCGAGTTGGTTTGTCGATCCGGTCGGAAGTGCTGTGTGCTTTGTGGTATAGGGCGGCTAACGCCGATCGCCCTACTCGACCGAACAGGTGTCCGGTGACAAAGTTGCACTTGCCGGCAGTGCGTCGGGCGGTGTCGTTCGACATACCTCCCTGTTCGAGACACTGAGACAGGGTGTGTGACAGTGTACGGACTCGGTCTGGGCACGGTCGAAGGGTTGCGTGTGTTGCCGACAGGTCGACATAAACCCCTTGTATTTTGTGAGAGGGCGCCGGTGGTTGTTCCTTGGATGTCTTCATATGAAATCCAAGTAGTGAGTTGAGCTTGCTGAATGAGGAGAAGGAACTGGTCGCGATGTGACTGGGTTGTATGGCCCCGTAGTCGTCAACGTAGTGCAGGGCAGGTGTGAGTGTTAGTACGCGGGCGAGTGCTGTGAGTGCATCGCCGAAGCGGTTGTAGCCCCAGACGCTGGCAGCGGAGCCGAACAGGAGCACGTGGTGGTGCCAGAGAGTTGGGCCGTCGGGTGTGATGAGTAGCACGTATGCTACCTCCGGTTGTGCGAGGGGCAGTTGACGGTAGGCGCCGTCGTGGTCGTGTCCCCACACATGTAGCGGGTGTGCGTCGTCGTGATATTGTCTCGCACATTGGATGTAGTGGTCGGGTGTGTGATGGTAGGGTTGATCGTGCATAGAGCACGTCTGGTTGTGGCCGCTGCGGCGCCAGTCTTCTCCTCTCCGGACTTTGGGTTTTCCGTCCGATCCGGTCTGTTGTATGCTGAATGCGACTGCCACAATGGGATCGCGATGTGGGATAGGAAGGAGCCGGCTGGTGTGGGGGAAAAGGTGCAGGGGTACTGTGCGAGAGGTCCAATGAGTCGGTGCCTCGAAGGGGCCGGCCATACGTCCCTGGGCCACTTCCCCCGCGATTTCGGTGGCCATAAGAGTCCAGTGGTCGTCGATCTTGTGTTGTTGTAATTTGCGCTGGATGTAGGCTTTGTTGAATGACCTGAGTTCTGCAAGGTCACATGGGTCCAGGTATTTGTGGTCGTGGCGAATGTGCCAATTGACTCCGGGTCGCAGAGGCCCCAGGAGGTCGAAGCCTAGAGAGAGTTCCTCGTGCAGGAGTTGTGCCTGTGGGTAGTTAAGCAAATGTAGCAAGTGTGTCATGAGTGGTACCTGAGTGATCATCTTCGGTTGTCGATAGGCTCGCTGGCAGTGTGGGGGCAGCTGTTCGAACCATGCAAGTGTATCTGTAGTCAGGTCATCGCGAAGGTCCGCGATGTCGAGTAACACGTTGTGCTGTAGTTGTGGCAGTTGTGGTATGGTCCTTTGCATTGCGATGGCCCACAAAATGGTCGGGTCGCAGTGCTGGGGCTGTTGCAGCGAGGTAGCGTGGTGTTTGGCCCAGGTCAAGTGGTCCTGCCAGTCGTTCTGTGGCATATGTAGCGTTTCCGATGCTCTCGGAGGTGGTCCCCATGGTCGTGGGTTGTGAAGCCAGAGGTCGACCATCATTCCGAGGGATCCGCGACGTACCCGCTGCATGGGCGGGGGAATTCCGAAGGCTGGCTGTAGTAGCAAAAGGAATAGGATCCACATGGCTGTGGGCACATGCCAGGAGTTCCCCAGCATGGTGTTCCTGGTCCGGTCG